TGGTATAGAAGCCAGGATGCTTCTGACCAATCATCCTCACTCCAGACACTTAGCAGTGTTTCTATGGACCCACATTTCATACTCTGACCAACACTTCTCCATGGTGCTTTAATAGTTTTATAATAGTAATGTTAAAAAAAATTTCTATAAACCGGTCAACAAAGCACCAGCTATTCTTCTCTTTAAAAATTGTAGGTAATAATACTAAGGCCTCGTATGAAACCCATGGTTTTTATTATATTACACACATACCCATATATACACAATCTTTTATATAGATTTTCTTTGGAATCAACTTAAAATAGTACATCAGCAATATTGCTTGGGTACTGTTCCAGGTCTGGAACTTGAACCTCAGTTGGCCATGTGAGAGTCCATGCCACCTGTTGGCTCTACTGCCAACTGATTATTGACGAAGGATATGAGATAATGTGGTGAAGAGGAGTAAGTCTTCAGCAACAGTGCCGGAAGAATTGGATATCTGCCTGCAGAAAAATGAAACTGGACTCCTATTTCTCACCTTTAACAAAATCGACTGAAAACAGATCAAAGATTTAGATGTAAAATCTCAAACCATGAAACTACTGGTGGAAAACATATGGGAAATTCACGACGACACTGAAGTAGGTAAAACTTTCTTAAGTAAGACCCCAAAAGCACAGGCAATTATCCCAAAAAATAGACAAGTGGGACCTCATCAAACTAAAAACTTTCTACACAACAAAAGAAATATCAATTAAAATTAAGAGACAACCCTTAGAATGGAAGAAAATATTTTAAAACTACACTTCATATAAGGGATTGAAAATCAGAATATAGGGGCCAGCAGGTGAGTGGTGAATAAAGGTGCTGAATTCCCACATGGCTGGCCATGGTTTGAGTCCTGGACCTGGCAGCTTGCTTTCTTGTTTTTCCTTTCTCTCGCTCTGCCTGGCCAAATTAAATAACAACAACAACAACAACAAATGGGATTAAATAAATAATGCTTTAAAAAAAGAAGAGAAAATAAAAGAATATCAGAATATATAAGGAACTCAAGCAGTTCATCTGCAAAAAAAATGAATAACCAAATTTAAAAATGGGCAAAGGCACTGGAAAGACAATTCTCTAAGGAAAAGATACGAATGGCCAAAAATATATGAAAAAATGTTTATAATCTCTTATCACAAAGGACATGCAAATCAAAACTGTAATGAGGTATCTCTTTACACCAGTCAGAATGGCTATGATTAAAAAAAGAAAGAAAAAAAATGCTGGTGAGCTTATGCTGAAAAGGGAACCCTCCTCCACTACTGGTGGATATCTGAGAAATACTGAAGGCCCATTTGAGACTGGTTATGAATCTGCTCTGTTGAAATTTTTATTCAATAGTTTCTTGGCTACTCAGATGCAGATAGAGAGAAAGAGGTTCTCTGAATTCATCCAGAGTTGGGATTTTATTTCATTTTGCTATTCTATATGCTAGTCACTAGTCTTTGCAGAAGGGCAAAGACTAGTGACTAGCATATAGAATAGAGTATTGCTTATACAATGATCTATGAACTCTAACCAGGATAAAAAGGAAAACATGAAAGGATAATATGTCTAAAGCGATTAGGATAATGCCAGAGCACCATTAAAAAAAAACAAAAACAAGATAGCTGTTATTATTACTAACCACTGTCCTCTAGAAGTAAGTGACTCATTATTCTAATTTGTAATCATTTCTATTTCTTACACCAGACTGTGCTCTTTGATGAGGAAGTATGTCTTAGTCACTTTTGCCTCTTCCCAAAGTCTAGTCCAAGAGATAGCGTGGTGTAAGTGACTATTAATTGTGTACTACTAAATCAATGAACCAAATCCTCTGCTTCCAAGCCATCTATACAATTTTTAAAAAGATTCTAACTATGGCATTATCAACTTAACATCAATTCAGAAAAATACACATTTTCAAAAAAAGTACCTAAGGGTCACTGTCAATTCAATGATAGTAATTTAATAAGCAGTTAATGGCATGGCTGATGGGAACTTTCTAATGTCCTAGACTACTGAAGAAGAAAATGAGTTAATACACATTATATGAAAACCGAGAATATGTTTTCTTGTTTTCAAGGGATAAGAGAAACTCTTGATCTTTCCTTTTTTTTTTTTTTTTAACTTTTGCCAGAGGGTGAATGAGCTAGAGAGAGTGAGAGAGCATCTATACTCAGACAACTCTAAAGGGGCATGGCAGCCCTGTAGTGTCCTCCTCTCCATTTCTCTTTTTGAGATTTTGGGCATAAATGGACATGTGTCCAGTATATTTTTCAAGCTGCTGGATTCAGGATTTGAACTGTGCAGTTGGTCATGTGAAATCTAGCCACTTTAACTACCAGACCACCAGCAAGCCCACTTCTGCTTCTATTTTTAATCAATTTAGTATCTTGCAGTTTTTAATAAATGAATAATCTGAAGCAAAGTCTACCCTAATCAAATATATTCATGAGGGCTTCTAAGTAAATTCAAGGACATATGATAATCACAAAGGTGGTGGCCAGGCTCACAGACTTCCTCATTGTTTTGGCAGAGAGAAAATCCCTAAAATAATAATGTATCTTCCCTAGTTTATTAAAGGTTTTTTTTTTTTTTGGCTGTAGGTTTAACTGAAAAGATAGGATTTCATTTTTGCTGCTTCTTAAGCTAATAGAATATTTATTTTAATGTATTCACAGGGAAAAGTATATGTATAGTTGTATAGTTACCAGCTTTAATCTAATGGTAGACAGATACAAGATATTGGAAATCACAAGTGTAAGCTGTGCTGAAAATCATCTTTAGTAAATGCACTGTTTCAAAGTGAGCATACGCTTTTTTCTTTTTTAAAGAGAGACTTTTCCTGCAGGGCGTGTGTGCTTGCCAGAAAGATAGAGAGACAGAAAGCGAGAAATCACCCCCCCCCCAGGGGAGATGGCCATGCTACAGTCCCTTCTCATCCATTCTCCTCTCAGAATCTTGGGCACGCACGCACATATGTCCAGCTTCAGTTTAAGCTACCTGGTCTGGGACTTGAACTGTGGTTGACTACGTGGGAGTCCAGCTATGTAACCATTATGCCATCTGCTGGTCCCAAGTGGATATACACATATTGCCTAGAGAAACCACATTACAATGGGAAGCCAAGTTTTCAATTGGTCTTTTTAAGTGTGAAACACTATGTAATACCTAGTAAGATAGAGAAACATCTAAACCTCTAGATCTAACACTTTATGGGACAATCTATATAGAATTCTCACTTGGGGAACCAATATCAAAACAAGTCCTTTTCTCTCTCTCCCTCTCTCTCTCTCTATCCTAACCTCTATTTTCACCAGCAGAAGTCACAACAGGATGGATGCTCAAAGGGGATTTCAGGCAGTGAACAAAAAGAAAACGTTTCCAACAGATACTTCTTAGTCCAATATGCCTCCTTCCAATACTCCTGGCTTTCTCCCCAAGGTCCTAGGAAAGTCTCGACTTTCAAGTAAAGAACTTACAGTTTCTGGACAGAATTAGTCTCTTTTCCAAAGCCACTATAGAAAAAAGATCACCCCCTTGAGCTGCATCCCCTTCTCAACTGCTGATATGGAAAGCAAGCAATTCAGCTACAGTGATGTGTGTGCTTGAACATGACAAATCAACATAGAACAATATTTCTGAGAGGAATGGGTTGAAAATATAAGAGGAAGACAAAAATTAAAAATATGTTTGGGTTCTTGATAAAATAGGAGAGAATAAGATACAACCCAAAGTAGTATTTGTCTGGGAACTTGCAGCAAGTTTATTGTTACTATTATTATTATTATACTGTATTTATTCATTGTCTTTTTTTTTTTTTTTTTAATTGAAGTTGACCAGAGAGAAACAAAAAAAAGAGGAGGAAAGTGAGAAAGCAAGCTTCCAGGTCTGTAACTCGAGCCATGGTCAGCTAGGTAGGAGTCCAGCTGCCTTAACCACCACACCACCTGCTGGTCCCCACAGCAAGTTTTAAATGTTTTCTTCTCCTTCATCACTTTTGGAAAGTTAAAGCTAAAGACACATAAGATATCGAATTTGGGTACACAAACTGCAATCTAATCCATCTGCATTTCAGAGTAATAACCAAGGTAGAGATATCTTCATAAAAGTATTAGATATTTTCTCTCTTCTTTTTTGGCCCAAGGAAACTCATGATCAAATAATGCACAATTTAACCTACTAAGGATAAAATTATAAAATTAAAAAAAATATTTTCTAAAAATAATAAACAGCTAAGTAAGTATCATCAGGCACAATCAATGGCCAAAATTCTAGTTAATAAAGAATTCATGTTACTTCTAAGATATACTATTAAAATATACTTTTTAATAAAACATCTTTAACTAAAATACAAGACTGTCAGGAAAGTCATGATGTATTTTTCTATGCAAAAATATGTTATGACTTTCCTGATGACCCAGTACTTTTCAGAAACTAAAAACAGAATCTTACAAAACTAAAGCTATACTAAAATATCAGACTTTCTTTAGTAATTCAGCAAGTACTCAAATAGTCTGCCTACCTTCAGGGACTTATTGCTATTAATGACTTGAATTTAGGAAATACTAGGTTGTCAGGAAATCCATGACGTAATTTTCTATGTTTTTCTATGCAAAAAAATGTGTCATGACTTTCCCGAGGACCCAATAGTTCAGAAGCAATTTCCTAGCTTAAGTGTTACTTCACATCTCATATACCAATCTTCCATCTAAAGCACTTACATCAATAACCACTACAGAGCCACAAATAACAGCTGAAGCTAGAGAATAATACTGTCTTTTACTGCACTTGGCTTTAAACATTATCTTACACTAAAAATTAATTCTGAATGACATAAACAAAGGTCATCCAAACAATATCAAGTATATCCCAATGAAAGCTAAAGTAGCCTATCCACAAAATAGGTCCGATCCCACATAACCCATACCCAACTCCTGGTTGGGTATTTAATGTAGAAAAACGTTCAAATATTAAAACTGTATTACCTTCATAATGTTAACTAAATCTGTTTGATAGTAGCGATCCTGATGTGCATTTGCTGCTGCTAGTGTAAGAAGATAATCATTCCTTGCGTGAGTAGCTTTGGAATTACATTCTGACCGCCGGGCTTTTAACTGAAACACACACACAGAAAAATCATTGCAAACTAATGTTGTACTGGAAAACACACGAAGATATTATTTTCGGTTGGCAAGTAGTGGCCCGCCACCAAAAGTAAGGCAGCCATGTGGAGAAAACATCTGTACGTACACAAAAATTATTCATCACTATTGAGGAGTGAAACAGTGACTGGAACTATTAACATGGTTCAGAGCATTTTCAAACATTTATTCATACTTAACACACTGATCCTTCCCAAAGCTTTCTATATATTTTGGTCCTTTTATTCAGATAAAAAATAAGAAAGTAAGCACTTTATGTTGAAAGATATAGGTAAATCTAGAGGAGCTGAAAATAGTGTTTTGGAAATCAGCACTCATATGGGCCAGAACTGCATGGCAGTTGGGAGCCAGGCAGCCAAAGCCAGGTCATGCAGCTTATTTATCAGTTATGCCACAGCTTGACAAGCCCACAGAAGTCACTTGCATCTGGCCTAGAATTTCTAAGTGGAAGAATGGTTCAGGTGTCTAATCTGAATGAAATAGATTTTGCAGAGTTTTCTAAAGCTGCTGGACTAAATCTTTTGGATCAATAGTTCAGGGAAACAACTATCTAAGCAGGTATGAAACTTATCTTTTATTTTTTTAGTTTAAACAATCTGTTTTTAAATAGTAAGCATCAAAAACAGACTCCTGATCCTTAAAATCCAGCTATCTGATAATAATCACGAGTGATTAACTTTATCTGAACTCAACTGTCGATTTTTCTTTCCCATGATGATTTAGAAGGATTATCTTCAAAGTAGTATAAACAGTATCTGGCTGTTTTCTAACCAACTGAATTTTATTTGTTACATAATAAGCCATCTAACATCTTCCAGCTAAAAACCACTAAATTTGAATAAAGATATTACAAAATGAATTAGAGTATAATTAAAATTTGCTTTGGGGGAGGGAACGTCACAATTCTACTCAATTAAAAAAATTTTTTATAGATAACAGTTTAGTTTAATTTTAACACCCATCATGCCATGAATTCTTAGGGAACAGGTTCCAGAAGCTCCGGCTCCTTTCCTTTGGTTCTCACAAAGAGTGTTTCTCTGGATGGAGCAGGCTGGGGCCTCATTCGAATGCAGGAACCTTTCTCTTTGGCGTTATTTTTTTTATTTTTATTTTTTTGAGAGATTTTCACTGTAGGGCGCGTGCGCTCACCAGCCAGACAGAGAGAGACATAGAGACAGAAAGCGAGAAATCACCCCCCAGGGGGGATGGTCACGCCACAATCCCTTCTCCTCCATTCTCCTCTCGGGATCTTGGGCACGCACACACATGCGCCCGGTGTGAGTTTTAAGCCACCGGGTCCGGGACATGAACCGCGGTCGACTACGTGGGAATCCAGCGACATAGCCATTACGCTAACTGCTGGTTCCCCCTTCACATATTTTAAGAAGCTATCTCTGCTCTTAGAATGTTTAATATGCATTTTAAGAATGCTCAATACCCACATTAATTCTCTCCGCAGGAATCTTGCCCTTAACTTGTTAACAACAATGCCAACAGCATATTGGATAACACTGTAGACTCTTCAAGTTTTGCCACAGTAACATGTGTGGGGCATTCCTTTTTGGACAGTACCCATTCCCTTGATGTCTACAACATCATCTTTCTTGTAAATTCCCATGTATGTTGCCAAAGGAACCACTCCATGTTGTCTAAAAGACCTAGAGAACACATATCGTGCGCCGTTCCTCTTTTCCCTTTGTGTTTGTCATTTTGGTGAAATACTGGAAGATGGTGACTCTGGCCAAAAGTGAAACTTATTCTTAAGCCTGTCTTAAGAAGCAGTCTGTGGTCTCTCTTGGCCTTAGTGCCATTTTCTCAGAAACCTCCGTGCCATGAGAACCAAGACTGAAGCATAAAAGAAGAAAGATGAGGCAGAGGTCCAAGTAAACAGCTTGTGCACCTATGGAGGCCAGAGCACCAGAAACAGAATGTCGTAGGCTCGGGGTGCTGGTACAAGTTGAACTGCAAGATACTGTCAAGTCTGTCTCTGGATCTAGAATTTCCATGGCCAGAGGATCACGAAGACCTCTGTGAGAGACCCATGTTGCTCCTACCAAAACAGCCCTGTGGTCCTTTTCCCCGGACCTGTGACATTCTGGGACTTGTGCTGTTACTTGTGGCCGAGTGTAATATGTGTACAATAAATCATCTCTTCTGTCAGAGCTGAAGAATCAGGCGAAGGGGAAAAAAATGAAGCAAGCAAGGAGTGTCTAAAGTGTTGATACCTGGGTAGAAAATCCTTATGAACTTGGAGGGAAAATTCCTCCCTGAGTTAGTGACTTTAAAATGCTGCTCGAACTTAGAAACAAGTCCACCATCTTCAGAAGTTCCAGTTCTTTATTTTATAAGCTATTTCTCAATTGTGAAATACACTTTTAAAAAACTCACCTTTACGCTCGCCTTCTGTAAACTGATTCTTGATTGAAAAAGACTAAGTTTAGATCTATAACAAAAATAAAAGAGTATGTTTAATAAAAGTATCACATTATATCATAATAAATCACTAAATATAATTACTAAAATTTTAAGAATGACTATTTCAAGATGTTGTTCTGTAACAATTTTTAAAATGGAAAACAAAAATCAATGATTGTTTTTTATTTTAATAGTAAGGATTTTCTATTATGGTAAAATAGGGAATAATAGGATTAATATAATAAAAATATCCTGAATGACAAAAATATAATTTGACAAAGGAAACATATTAGTTATCTCCTAATAGACAAGAGTTATCAAACTATAAGTTATTCCCAGTATCAAACAACTTCACACTTTAGTTCTTGAAAGGATTAGAAAAAGTCAGAACCAGGACCAGTGAATGGCATAGTGGTGGTCACTGGACTCCCACATAGTCGACCACAGTTTGAATCTCTGACCTGGCACCTTAAAACTCACGTCAGGCATGTGTGCATCCATGCTCAAAATCCTGAGAGGAGAATGGAGAAGAAGGGACTGTGGCATGGCCGTGCCCCCAGGGGGGTGATTTCTTACTTTCTGTCTCTTTGTCTCTGTCTCTCTCTGGCAAATGCACACACCCTACAGCAAAAATCTCTCTCTCAAAAAAAAAAAAAAAAAGAAAGGAAGGAAGAAAGAAAGAAAAGAAAAACTCAGGATCAACCAACCTATGGAGGCAAAAGTTAGCAGGCTTTCAGGGCCATATGTGGTAGACTATAATACCCCAAAAGAGTCTTCACACCAGAATCCACCCCTAGCCTCAGTCAGCCAGGGTCATGGGCACACAAGAATATACTGGGTGTGCAGGAATATAACCTACAGGCTCTAAAAAGTGCTTAACTTGGATTATTTCTGCCACTTAAAGTTCTTTTTGTTTGGGTACCTATGTACTTCTCTACTTTCAAGGGTATTCTCAACTAACAGAAAATTCTTGGACTTTCTTCCTTGTGTAATTTTGTTCTATATAATATCCCACTTTGGTGCTTTTATCTCCCTTGATTCCTTTCAGTTTGGGAAGGAAACTATAATCTAACAATCAGTTTTAAGAATAGTTGGTTCTAAGGAACTAAAGAAAACCATCTGAAGAAAAGTCAACAGATAAATGCTAAGGAAAAAGCCTCCTCTTCCAACTGATGATTTTTCTGAAGCTGCAATGTTTGTCTTGACTGCAGTGTCATGGTGATTGCCATGGAAGAATTCAGTGCTGTAAGCTATGCCATGATATAAAGCTACAGGCCACATGGGATTGGAAGACAGAGTGGCCAGTCTCTGCAGCGCCATTGCGAAGAGGTCAGCAAAAGCTGTCTCTTAACTTTCTAACAACAGAGAAAACATTCAGGAATGAACACATAGACATCCCAACTACTTCACTATTAACAACAAAAAAGGTCTAGTATTCCTGTTATTTTCTGCCTTTTCATATCCATTTTTTTTTCATTAATCAGGTTCCTACTGATTTAAATTTTATTTTATTTCTCCCATGAGAGAGAGCCAGAGACAGAGATGGAGGGAAGGGGCACCTTCACAGCATTATCCACCTGCAGCCAGCATGCCTGGCATGTACAGGGAGACCTTGGGATACAATCCAAGGACCTTCCTTTGTGGCTTCAGAAGCAGCAAGTTTTGCATTACCTGTGCCACCTCAGCTGGCCCAGATTTCTACTCATTTTGTTATAGAAAAGCAAAGGACATAAGTTTTAAGATTTAAAAGAGTCTTCAGAGTAAGACTATGTTGAATACTCCCAGTTCTCCTTTTTCTATAGTCACTATCTGTATAGGCTGAGCTGTACCTGGATCTTCCAATAAAAGTTTTTGTTTTAGGTTTTTGCCATAGGGGATGTGTGCTTGCCAGAGAGAGACAGAAAATGAGGGAAAGTGAGAAATCACCCCCTGTGGGAGATGGCCATGCTGCAATCCCTTCTCCTCCAGAATTCTCTTCTCGGGATTTTGGGCACACAAGCACACAGATCTGGTGTGACTTTGAACCAGCTGGGTCTGGGACTCGACCCATAATCAGCTATGTGGGAGTCCAATGTCTTAACCACCATGCGACCTGCTACCCCGCTCCCCTCCCCCCATATAAAATTTTAAGTTTCTGGATCCTACCTCATTTGCTAATACTCATGTGCTTCTTGTGCAGTATTAAGTAGGTATTAGTGAAAGACTAAGAATAAGACTTAGAATAAGACTCCTGCCAGCCCTATTCTCTGGTGGTTAAGGGAGCCAGATTCCACTTAGCCAACTCTACACGATTCAAATCTTGGCCCTGGCAACTTGAAAACCATTCCATGAATGTATGTGTACATGTCCCAACCCCTTACAGGATGGAGAAGTGTAGAAAGGACTGCTGTAGCAAAACGGGGATGGTAGGTGGTGTGGTGATTAAGGACGCTGGACTCTCACATGGCCCATCATGGTTTGAATCTTGGACCTGGCAACTTGCTTTCTCACTCCCCCAACCCCTGGTTCTGTCCCTTTCTGGTCAAATTTAAAAATAAATAAATAAAGTTAAATATAAATTAATAATAATAATAAAGAAGGATTGCAGCATGACCATGCCCCATTGTGGGGTGCTCTCTCCTTCTCCCTTTCTCCAGCAGGTGCATGTACCTTCTATTAAAAATAATAATAATAAGTTAGTACATATCCTAAGAGATTATGATCTATAAAAATTAAGGCAGGATTTTTACAAATCATGTACTATACAAATAATGAATTATACTACACATTACACTTTACTATTTATCCTTCAAATGTTAAATGTTCCTTAAGGTTCCAAACAACTTCTCATCCCTGTAACTACCACCTCTTAGGCAGCTAACCTCCCAAAGTGAGGTTTTCAGGCCCAAATCCTCACACAAGAGCCAGATACTTATGTATATACCAAACATATTCATTCCAGTGTCTCTCAGGTCTTTTCAGAATCTACATATCTAAAATGAAATTCCTCATTTCCCTCAAACTATATCCCTCTTCTTCCCATGTTCCCTCCTAAGATGTGCATCTCACCATCTATCAGATCACTTATCAAAACTATATGTGGTCCAGCGTTTTCTCAGGTTGCTCCAGCAAACAGAAAGTCATCAACATATTGAAGCAGAGTACACCCAGTTTCCTGACTTGGAAAAGTCTCTAAATCGGCAACAAATGTGTCTCCAAACAGAATGTGCATAGGTCGTTCCTTCAGAAGAGGATTCCTCATGGCTCCGGCAAACTAGTCATTTCAGGGGACAGGAGAAATGAAGATTTTCTACAGATGATTCAGCCTTCAGCAAACAAAGCTAGCGTGGCAGGAGAGCTGAGGCCTTCCTTCAGACGAGGATTCCTCATGGCTCCTGCAAAGCAGTCATTTCAGGGGGTAGGAGAAATGAAGATTTTCTACAGATAATTCAGCCTCCAGCAAGCAAAGCTAGCATGATTGAACTTCAAGAATTCAAAAGAAACACACCATCCATTAGATGACAAGAAATCACCACAGGACCACAGGAAGTATGGGAAAGCAAGAAAATACCTCTCCTCCAAGGGAAAAGAATAACTCCTCTTCACCCACAAGCAGTTCAATGCAAATCATGGAAATGTCTGATAAGGAATTTAGAGCATTCATAATGGCGAAGCTAACAGAGATGGAAGAGAAGAGAGACAATGAACTGCTAAAGAGAAAGGAGAAAGAAGTTGACGAGTTCCAGGAGGTGAGGAAATTCTTGCAAGATCTAAAAGAGGAATTACACGCTTTACAAAAGAGTCAAA